AAAGATCCACAAATGTCTGTTTTTTAATGTGCATTTGTTTATTGTGTCTAGTTTTCACGGTGTTACGCGGTGTTTGCCGAAGAGAAGAATTAAGAATAAACCTCCGTTGACATCAGTATGAAGCGTGGCCTTTTTTGTTAGACCCGTGCAGCTACAATTAATTTTCTTCTTTGGCTTGAGCTCGTACAGCTAAATTACTCTAATATTACAACCTGTCCTTGCTATCGTAAAGTACAGTGTCTGAGCAGAGTTGCAGGTGAGCTGGTGTGCCCGAGCTGCAGTGAGTGGTGGAGTCGTGGAGGCAGAAAGCCACAGTGTGGAGTTAAATCTAAACCATTTGAAGGCATGAAGAGAATAAAAAAAACCCCTGAATATGTCATTTTGATACATGGAAATAAGGTTTTAGGAGTTTAGTTAATGGCCAAAGAGGGAAATTAAAGGAGAACTGGTACCACGTTCAGAAACTTTTCTTCATTTTTGGGTCCATAGAACAGGCAGGTTAGCTTCTTTCTCCCTTGAAGTGGCCACATGTGGTGTTACAGTGAAAAGAATCCCCTGGATCCCAAAAAGCGTCGTTCCCTTAGACTACAATTACAAAAGCAAAATCATTAACACTATGGATGGGACACCTCCTGCTGCAAGTTTGTCATCTTCATATTGTGACTGTTTAATCCATGTAGATTGCTGTAGGAACACAGAAAATGGAGTTTTACAGAGATGATATCGTCCTAATAAATGCATCTGATTTACATTCAAATGAGCTGATAGAGGAATTCTGTGTATTTGTATGTAATAAGGTTTTAGAAAGCAGCATGAGGCTATGGAGTAGTGAGAGCGCCAAATTACAAAAATAAATCAATAAAAGAGTAATAAAATAAAAGTGGAAATAAAAAGAAGAATAAATGAAATTTTTAAAAAATCAATAATGTGGCAATATAAAGCAATGCTAATCAAAAATGAATCCATCAAAGAAAAGGCTAATAAAAGTACAAATATAAAGACACATAAATAAAATAATAATAGTATATTTTTAAACATTTTATTTATTTATTATTTGAAAATTTTAAATCTATTTTTTTCTTATTTTTTCATTTTATTATGATTTTTTAAATTTATTTTTTTATAATGCCGCTTTAAAAGCAAAGGAAGTATACGCAGAAAAATGTCTGCAGTAGGAATGCAGTTGTGCGCATATAGCGACTTTATTTTAAAAAAATGATAACAATAATAATAAAACAAATATTTAAAAAAAAGAAAATAAAAAAAATATTTTAATTTGTATTATTTTATTATTTTTCTTTTTATTTCTACTTTTAACCTTTTCTTCCATGGATTCATTTTTAATTAATATTGCTTTATATTGCCACATTATTTATTTTTAAAAATTATTCTTCTTTTTATTTCCAGTTTTATTTTAATATTCTTTTACTGATTTATATTTGTAATGTGGCTCTCTCACCACGCCATAGGAGACATCAAGACACAGGAAAATGGGCTCATTTTTCAGAACATAACCACCCACATTAAGGGGGAAATGGATTGAACGGCATCTGTCCGAAGCATTTAGTAGCCCCACTATCTTCCTGCTTAAAAATGCCACTGTTATTTGTGTGTAGACTTAAATAAAGGGTCGTGATTGTTTCATACTTTTCGTAATTTGTGTGTGTAATGTGTATGAGTATCTGCCATTTGAAACATTATTTATGTACAAGTATATGTTCATAAGCCACGTAGCACAGCCTCATGCACAGTATTTGTACTAAAGCTGTAATGGAGGAAACGCTGCTAATGTTCTACATGTTCACATCCAGGGTATAAAGCTTAATTAGTGAATGTTGAAATCCAGGACTCAGAATAGGTAGACAACCAAGCATCAGTTAAGTCAACCATGTTTGTGTTAAAAGAAACTGATTTAAGTAGAAAAATCACAAACAAAGACGGAAAGAAAGTCACCTTTATTTGATGGATATAAACAAGCTGGCCAACACTCAATAGTAATATTCTGATACAGCACATACAATAGCAAACAGGGGCACTGAGGACAGCCTCCTATTGTTTAAAAAACAAAAAACATTACAGAGTATCCATGCTTCATTCAAAACGTACTCAGTCGCACTGGGTTTTTTTGTTTTTTCTCAAGGGACTCTCTCTGATAAAGTTTTTTAAATAGATTTTTCTCTTGTGCATTCATAACACAGACACACACACACACACACACACACTCGCACACTCTCATTAAACAATAAATGCAGTTATGCACACACACACACTCACACATATATCTCTCTTTTCTGAACACATTTACACCAGCAACCCCAAAAAACATGCTGCACTCTCACAAAACTGCACAGGCTGTCTACTAAGGGGACACAGTAAGTGAGACACACATCACTCTCAAACACAACATCACACCGTCACAATGCACGATGCAGATGCAAGTAATGGATGAGGAATGACGCTTCATGGGAGATTAGCTCACGTTCACACAAATAATCATTCAGCATGCTGGACACACATTTAATTTGATCCTAGGTCTTTACTGTACAGCTCAAAACATTTACTTATACAAATAGTACAGTCTCAAACTGGCATATTCAATAAGCTGAAACAATAGAAAAAATAAAGCTAACTTAAATACAAAAATGAATAATAAAAAAGTAAACGCAATATTTGTTCTGTCAAACAAACAAAAGAAAAGGTTTCTGGCATTGGTCACAGTGATTTGTTTGATCCAAAGTTTTCAGCGACATACAGTAAAATAAAAAAAAACAACCTGTTTACAACAATAAAGTGAAAATGTATGTTAGGCTTTTCATACGTTTTTTTCGAAGGCCTTTTTGAAAATTACTGGTGAATCTACAGGCTTTTCAAGTCTTTCTACACAGCTGCTTCTAGGCACAGATCAGATGAAGCCTCGCCTTCTGGACTCACCGCACACCGAGTGCGATGTCACAACCAGGATTAGTCTTTAGTCTAAACCCAGGAAACCAGCCCCAGCCTCTAAGCCTCCGTGTCTCCTAAACCTTGTTTTTTTTTGACACAACGGTAGAGAAATCGCTCTGCATAGAGAACAGGAGATTATCCTTACATCATCACTTTCAGTTGGCACATAATGTAAAAATCAGCATGCATGGGCACAATTAAAATGTTCCATGTTGTCTACCATGTAAATCATATACGCTATGTCATGGTAGGAGAACTCCCTACTTCAAGTATTCAGTAGATAAGGACCTGAAAATGGAGGATTCATACTCCATCCCCCCTGATGGTGAAGTGACAGGATTTTTGCTCCTCTGTCTGTTTGCATTGTCTTCCCTTTTTTTAAAAAAAAGAAAAGAAAAGAAAAGAAAAGAAAAATCCAAATCAGGACCTTTTATCTTAACAATTGTAAACACAAACAGCAACACAATCTCTTAATTCTTGGTCAGTGACAGGAGCTGTAAAGGTTCACGCGGGAAGCAGACAAAGATGATGCACGGATCACCTGGGTTCGTGGAAGATGGGCGGACGGAAAGACGTTTATATACAACAACCAACACTTGGCCATACACGGGAGAGAGACACACAGGCACCATGAGGGGAGAGGAAGTGGGAATAGTAACAGTCTACTTCATTTTTCCACTATACTGTAACAATGTGTGTTGGGTTTTTTTTTTCTACTTAGTTAGCTGTCACGGTCACGTACATCACCACTTCTGTTTACGAGACGACAACGACGACAAACACGCGAAAGAAATGCATCCAGACAGAGTCACTCAAACCTCCACTTGGATGTTAATCGTGATAGTCCTCACTCTCACAAGTGCAAGCTTCTGACTGCTGGGAGCAGCAGACATAATCTCATTGCTACCTGTGTGAGCTGCAAAAATCCAAAACGAAACAAGAAGAAGAAAAAAAAAAGTTGTTTAAAGTTGTTACCACAGGCCAAGTGGTCTTCAACTGAGTTGTTTTCACATTAAGAAAGGAATGTAATAACGTCATCTGTTCTAGACTTCTAGATAGATTTGGATACTCTTCTTTATTTCCCATAAACTGCTCTAAAGCTCTTATTTGTTCTTTTGGGCTGTCCTGTGATTTCAGACAGGGAATGTTAGCTCTGCTGCGGGGTTTTGTGTGTTTTTTTTTTTGTTTTTTTTTCTCACAAAGTACAAATCAGAGGAAAATCACACCACTCAACGCTCTGAATAAGACATCTCTCTGACCTCCAGCCAGTTAGAAAAATAACCATGAAGAAAAAAAACATATATAGTATCTTGTCAGTTTGAAACGATTTTCTGACCACGTATAGACACACTCTATAGATTTCTCTCTATATGTATAATATATGCATATCTATCATATGTGTACAGTTTTTACGAGGCACAGGCCACCTTGTTGAGAAGGAGAAAACAAGTCACTATGTTCGGGGGAGGTCACACAGACTACTGCTGGAAGAGTACAAGGAAGAGGGGAGCAGGGGCATACTGTAGGGCAGGGACTGGGGGTGTCAGTGGTACAAATAGACCTGCAAGGAGAACATCTACCGGACACTGTCTTCACTCTGTAGTCTACACCGATGCTCGTAGTAGCAGTATGTCTGTGTGTGTGGGAGTCGGCGTGATCGCTGCCCACAAAGCCCCCCTGTTTTCAAATCGTATGTACAAAGCAGTGTTTCACTGTTGTTTATGAAGCCCATTGTGGGGTCGAGTCCCCTCTACTGTAAAAGGACTAAAAGATGCTCTTGACCACGTCTTCTGACACCATTTAGTTTGAGCACCAGCAGAAGCACCATTAGTAAAGATTCCTGCAACACAGAGGAGGTGCATAGGTGCATAGTCTCAGAAAATCAAAAGAATCCGATGAGTGTTCTCTGACCCTCTCTTGGCCGCTCTGATTGGATGGTTAATTACAGTTTGATTTGATTGAGGCGAGGATGGGAAATAAAACATGTACTCACTCTATGTTGACATCTGCATAGATTAAATTCTTTTTTTGTCTACTTCTGATTAAAATGAGGTAACATGAAGAGAAACGTGGATGACAGCCACAGCCTTAAGGCTCAAACAAGCCCAAGGACCGGAGGGCCCTGCTCATGCAGCCAAGGAAGCCCTCGATGCTGCAGGCAAGGCTCAAGGCGTACTATCAGTCAGCTCAAAGCTCTTCCGTTCGCCAACAAGAAAAACCTAAAGTCGCTCAAATCTGGTGTGTGTGGAACATGCTAGTAAAGGGTCACAACATCACGCTTGGAAATGCTGAACACTCTAGAAATGGGCGGCGGGTGAGGCATGTACGAAGGTAAAAAAAGAGGTCACTGTGTGCCACAAAGAGTAGATCTAGCTCATCGACACAATCAGATGATTCGAACAACAGAAGAGGCTCTGCACGCTTGGAGGGGGTCGTGATAGCCGGGTAGAGGGGTCAGATGTCACCAGATGGGTCAGACGGGCAGTGAGGATCGAGGAACCGTGACAGAGTCAGGCGGAGGAGCCAACCAGAGCCAGAGGAGTCAGTCAGTCAGTCAGTCAGGCCGGTGAAACAGTCAGCGAGGCAACCATGATCTTGAACATGTCAAAGGAAAGAGGGATGAAGTAGAAAATACTGGGCTGGCAGACGACGATCTTCTGCTGGGAGGACCAAGAGGGCGTCGTCGGCCTGAATGGGCGGATCGCTCGGCAGGTGACGGACAGGTGAGGTGACCTCTGTGAGACCTCCGACGCGGGGGGGGGCTGTCCGAGCCACGATCTGACACACAGAACACCTGTCTCTCCATCGACATCAATATCCGTCTCTTTCCTTCCACTTGGGCGGCGTGGCTGTAATCGTGCGTGAAGGTAGTGGAGTTTTCACACCAAGTAGAGGTCCCACATCACCTGGAGCAGAGCAGCAGCAAGGAGGGGAAATGTAAGAAATGCACCAATTCATAAATCCTCTTTGTCGTCCAGGTGAACGTGTGAAACTACCTGCACAGCTGTCGGTCTCCACGCGTGACCTGCACACCTGAGAGCCCCCTCCTCTTCCCCGGAAACAAAACAAAACAAAAAAGCAAAAGGTCCCATTGCTGAGTTCTGATTGAGTGGAGGTAATAAATGTTTTGTCGGGTCGTGTTTCAACATCATGGCGTGGCTGTGCTCCTCCAGTAGTGACTGAATCATCTGGATGTGAGAAAAGACAAAAATAAGTTTGTGGCAGGAAAATGAATACTGATAAAGTGGAAAAGTCTTAAATGGAGCTCACCCCTCAAAACAACATTAGAGCTTTGGTTGTCACAGCAAGGATTATGCCCAGATGCCCTCCTCGTCATCCTGTTCGAGGCACGAAGAGAAGAAAGTAAACTGGAGTTAAGTTCTATTCAGGCAGCGTGACAGAAAAATAACCGCGTTCAGAAGTTAGAGTAAGCATCAGAGAGGATATTAAAGTGAAACATCTTCTCTAAAGAACATGTTTTTAAAGTTGTTAGAGGAGCTGGAAAAGGCTGGAAAAGGAGGTGTCGCAATAAACCGCTATTGAAAAGAAAATTACGATCTAAAAATGAAATACTGACATCATGATCATAATTAATATATGCTAGTAATTATGCTAATTGCACCACTGTACATATATGCTTTCTGCTCAGATGTGTAAATTCTTGTATATATTTGTTATTTAATTTTTACTATTTAACTTTATTTTTTATTCTCCTATTTCTATTATTCTCTAGGGTGACACCAACAGCCGAAACCAAACCCCTTGTTACGTTGTACTTAGCCATTAAAGCTGATTCTGATGCTGATAAGAGCTATTTGGTTCTCACTATCTGGATACAGACTCTCTCCACGTCCCTGCACCTGAATTTTGAGTGGATTTAATTTGCCAAAAGAGAAACAATAAATAAATAAAATTAGAGAGAAATCTGACTGATCATATTATACCATCCTATGTATATTGCAATTATATTGTTACCATGAATTCTCTGGAACCGATGATCGTGTACTGAGCATCTTATATTGTGACAGCAAATCACTGCAATCAAGTGTTTTCTGTAACTCTCAATCAGACTTGTGCACCTGTTGACAGGTATTTGGATTTCACTGCTCATTGGCAAAGTGCTCTAATTTGTCCGGGACAGTTTTTTTTTTTAATTATTCTTTTCACCCACAATTCAAAAGCAAGGCCTAATGCAACAAAACAAAAATTAACAAAATTTTAATTAATAATAAGTTTTCCAGTTTCTAGTTATTTGAGTGATTATTGTGCATTTTGCCTTTTCTTTAATGGAAGGGGATGAATACATTAGAGGACGACTGTAGATCTGGTGCCGCAAGTGACAATGATTTCTGTCTTTAATAGGGAAGAAAAAATGTAGTTTTTCAACAACCAACATATTGATTAGTCAACTAAAAAGTTCAGCTGTACTGGAAACTAATCAGTGTGCGACTGTCCACTGGCTGACAGGCAGCACAACTTATATAATCGGCCACTTTTAGCTCACGACAGACATCTGCATCCATTTCAACATGTGAAGAGCAAAACAATGACACTGCAAAGATGCATTTAAAGTGTCACTATTACACAGTTTGTCCACTAAGGAGCAAAGACAAGTTGCAGTACATTACTTGGTTACAATCCTTTGATAATTTTAGGCGTCGTGATCAGATTTTAAACTTCCAAATAGGGCTCTGACAATTATTTGATTCATTACTGAGTCAACTGAAGGGAAATTATGAATCATCTTTTTTTTGATAATTGATCATACGGCTTTATTTCAGACAGTCACAAGGCCATTTCTGTCCCATCGTTCACTGCTTCAGTCCAGCCCACCCACTCAGCGTGCTTTATAACTGAGGCAGCGTTCATTCATTCTGCTGCTCACCACATCGCTGCTACTCCAGCCTCTGCAGATCGACAAATCTCCTCCTCCTCCTCCTCCCCAACCACCTCCTTTCTAAAAGTTCAGTTTCATAACTCCGGTTGTTTCCCATATCGTGGGACTGTAGGATGCAGATGGTTCATTATTGTACCTTAAACTGGATTTTGTAAAGTGAGGACCTCGTTCTGTATTTATTTGAATATTGTGAGTTTAAGGCTCTTCCAGGGGGGTTGTGATCTCAGGGACTGTCTGTGTCATGCTTGCTCAGGTTGTCCACCGCCAAACTCAAATGCATCGACACAAATGGGTGAATCTGACAAAGTGTCCTGTGTGAAATTCATTTCACTTTTGGTCATTTTGGATTTTCTTTTTTGTCTCTTTGTGGTTGTTTGATGTCTTTTAGCTGAGCGTCGTGACTTTCCAACAAGAAATAATCAGTGATTTTACTGGTTTTTGCATTATTTAGCAACATTTCCTCAGTGTTGATCTGACCTTGAGGCGACAAATTAAAAGATGTTTAAAATGCGGGCGGTATCTGACCTGGTCTGGAGAGGGGCGGTGACCAGCATGTGGGGGTCCTCGGGCCGAGCCCCCGCGATGGTGGGGCGACGGGTGACGTAGATGCTGGGCGTGGTGCGGGTGCTGAGGGTGCTGCTGATGCGGATGCTGGGGGTGCGGCCCTTGCTGTGGGGGGCCGTGCGGGTGCTGAGGGTGGGGGTGAGGGTGCTGCGGGGGGGCGTGTCCGTGCGGGTGCTGCGGAGGATGCTGGGGGTGCTGTTGGTGAGGGTGCTGGGGCTGTGGGGGCCGTGGGTGCTGTTGGTGCTGCGGGGGCGGCTGGGCGTGCTGAGGGTGCTGCGGGTGCTGAGGGTGCTGCGGGTGCTGCGGGTGCTGCGGGTGGGGGTACTGGGGCTGCGGCTGCTGTGGATGCGGGTGCTGTTGGGGGGCCTGCGGGTGCTGCGGGTGCTGAGGATGCTGCAGGTGCTGCGGGTGCTGGGGGTGCTGCGGGTGTTGCGGGTGCTGCGGGTGGGAGGCGTGTGGGTATGGAGTCTGCTGGGCGTGGCC